ACAGACCCTTTGTTAAAATTCCTCCCCTGGGAGCACATAAACATCTATCCACCTCCCCACAACATCCTATGACAAACCAAAGCATGATTCTACCATACTTCACCCAGGAGAATCAATGATTTTATTAGGTTTACTTACAGAGCATGAGTGAGGTGTTAAGGATGGGAAGGAATCTGGATAGCCTCCAAAGCAGCCATAGCTGATGACATCCCCTCTGTATTCACAGAGATGGAGCCCTCTTCCCCTGGTCTTCTCCAGCATATATTCAAGCATCTCCCCAAGTCCACTAAGTCACATGCATTTAGGACAGAATTGCATACAAATGACTAAGAGGAATGGCTGGATACTCAGGTGCAGCGTGCAATGATCCTGCCCACCCCTCCTTCTACGAGGGAATCTTAACGGCCCTTAGATTCCATTGTGATAGATTCTTTTTGCAAGCAGGCACCGCTGATCTGATGCAGATTGTGCTACTTTGCTGAGAGGGTAGTGCTCTACAACACTCCATCCCATTCTCTGCCTCTTACATTCTTTCTGCCCTCCTTGGTGACAGTTCCTGAGCCTTGGAGGGGGTGACAAAGATGTCTGCCTTTTTTATTCAACTTCAGTCTGAAGTACTGAACCCTTGTGCTTTTCGAGGGTGGCAGCAATGACATCCCTGCTCAAGGAGTGTGGTCTGCCATGTAAAGTATGGAGATACTTGGAGAATGGCTGAAGGTCTAGGGTGGACATTACAGCCCCTCAGAGAAGTGCAGAAGGGATGCAGGCATTGGCATGCAGCTGTGCAGGCTGCATGGTCACTGTTATGTGCAGGAAGAAATAGATCTGAGGCCCAGTGGCTGTCCTAAGGAAGACTGTGTGCTTGAGGGATGAACTGCAATAGACAAATAATATGTAGCTAGCATCCTCCATGTTAACCTCCAAATTGTCAGGAAAATTGGTCAATGAAAGCATGAGATGGAGGTGTTGGCTTGCTACTTGTCATGTCTGGGGACCATGAGATAAAGAAAACCCAAATTAAATCTCTATTAATGAGCCCTTCTTGGAAGCCCCAAACCTGGAACCAATGGAAGGAGTCAGGTAGCAAAGAGGAACAGAGTCAAATAGATGTGACAGAAGAGAGCCCTCAGGTCCAACCTTGGATAGAAAGAAGAAAATCAATGATGCAGCCTGCAGTCTTAACAAGGGTCTGGTGAAAGCGACCATGGAAATCAAGAACATTCATCATTAGAATTGTTGGAATTAGGGAAATGTTTTAAAGAAACAGTGAAGGAGCCCTTCACCACCTGCCCCCTTTTTTTTTCTACAAAGATCACTGCCTCAGCAGAGAGAGGGTTTTCAGGTCCTGTTGGGAGTGCATGTGAGATATGAAGGAGGACGGTGGAGACCTCCGCACTCCCGTCAGTCCTGGAGTTCCTGGGCAGAGAAACCAGACACTGTGTACTATCGGTTCGGCCTGTGAACTGTCAGGGAGGAATGAGGCCTCAGATTTGCAGTAATAAGGTACCAGGGTCCTGAAGGAGGAGCAAGGAGACCCCCGATGCAAGGTGTGGATACTGTCCCTGTTATCAGCACAGGCTACCTCTGAGGAAGACTTGATAAGCATGGTGCCTCTGGATTCCTATTCAGTGATCACAGGAAGATGGTAGCCTTGGCCTGAAACACAGACCTGAAGGTCAGCAGGGGCCTTGTGAGGAGTACAAGATATATGATGGTCACAGTAAAAATGGTGGAGAGTTTGGGAGGCAGGATTGCTATCTCGACTGAAAAAAATCATAACTGTAGCAGACATAGAGATGCACCAGGCAAACCCCTTTAGTAAAGATGTCATTGAAAACTACCATCACCACTAAGAAACAATCTACAGTAGATAAACTAAAAATGACAAGCAAGCTGTATTAGTTATTTTCTGTTGCTGTGACAAAATACCATGACCCAGGCAACTTAGAGAAGAGTTTATTTGGACTTAACAGTTCCGGAGGGCTAAGAGTCCATCATGGAGGTTGTTGCAGGACAGCACACAGCAGGCATGGCAGCAGGTGCTAAACACCGAGAGCTCACATTGTTAATTGCAAACAGGAAGTGGAGAAGACAAACTGAAAGTGGGAGCAATCTATGAACTTTCAAAGCCCACCCCCATTGGCATGCTTCTTCCAGCAAGGCCACACTTCCTAAAGGTTCTATGACCTCCCCCAAACAGCACAACCAACTGGGGACCAGTTCACACTTTGCAGCCTATTAGGGACATTTCTCAAACCACCACAAAAGTCATCAAAATACACTACTAAGGAAAAGAAATCAACCACAAAGAAAGACTGTCAAAGATGGGGAAAGGATGTATAATAAAATTAGAAAACAGGTACCACAGGCTGGCAAGATGCCTCAGCAGGTAAAAGCACTTACCATGCAAGACTAGCAAGCTGAGTTTAATACCTGGAACCCATATAAAGGTCAAAGTTGTCCTCTGAGCTCTACACATGCGGTGTGGCACACATGCACACAATAACAAATGAAAAAATACAACAGGTAATAAAATGACAGTACTAAGTTTCTATTTATAATTACCAAACATAAATGAATTACATTCTTCAGTTAAAACAAATACAGTTGACTGAATTTTAAGAAGGCATAGCTATCATAAGAAACTGACTTCAGCTCTGAGAACATGCACAGATTGAAAAGGAATGGAATATGATATTCCATCAAATGGAATCCCAAAGAAAGCAGATGCACTCATGTATATCAGATAAAATAAGCTTTAATGAAAAGCAGTAAAAACAGGCCTAAATATGGTCATTATATATTGATAAAGGGACCAACTCAGCAAAAGGAAATAAGTCTAATAAATATATGGACACCCTATATCAGATTATCTAAATAAGTAAATCTGATATTACTATATCTAAAAAGAGATATGCTAATGAGATAATAGGAGAGGACTTTAATATCCCACTTTCAGAAATGCAATGCCAATCCAGACAGAAATATAACAAGGAAACCTAGAGAGGAGATGGGGGTCAAGAGAGGAGAGAGACTGTACACAAATGGACCTAATACACACCTTTGTGACATTCTAACCAGCAAGGACACAAATTCTTCTGAAGTACGCTGAAAGCCTGGCTGGAAGAAGGATCTTTCTGTTCTAGAGCAGGGTTGTTCTAGGCGCTCCATGTTCTTCCTGGGGTCCCTTGTGTCTGAAGAAAAAAGGTATCTTTCTGAACCTGAAACCTGTCCCAGCCTCTCAGGTCACCCCCCTCATGTCTCTGCATAACTAATGATGACCTGTCTTTGGGTGAGGTAGACATGAGAGTGCAATATGGATAATAGCAGCCCTTGATCAGGATACTGCTGAAGATACTATAAAGTGAGTCAGGTTCCCTGAGGGAGGGGCATCACAATATATCCAGCCATTCGTCTCATGAAGGACTGAACTGCAACAAGCGATGTGTCAACATGTGAACATTCTCCTACACACTGTCACCATCATGAGAAACATGACATTGGTGCCCTTTATTGTTTAGAGTGAAATAAATTTGAGGCATAAGCCATAGAATATCTCCTTGCCAAAAACTGCTCAAGGCTGGCAGTGTCACAGAAAATGTACTGACTAAATAATGCACGGCTCCTGGTCAAAACCCATAGATTACATATCCCTGCATATTGATATTGTAAAATAACAGCCAATTTCAGGAAGGTGTCTGTAGATCAGGCTGTGGTCATGTGGTCCTACTGACTCTGTCATAGACAGTCATAGACACAGGATGTAGGGTGATATTTAACAAAGCTGACCATGTTGGCAGATGTCTACTTAGACATAAGTATCAGCTACCTATTAGTGCCATAGCCTATAGAAAAGCAGGTGACCTGCTTCCTGCCTGTCATTAGCCTGCATATATGCCCCTCAAAGCAGTGACTACCACTGGTTCTTTGTGGTCATACAAAGGACATGGGATCTGGCACTTGGCCTTCACATATACCTCTATTTCCTTGACTAGGAAACATATCAATAACCACATGGGTTGGGTTGTGCCCCTGAAATCATTCCTTTGGACTGTGATGCTGAGATCAGCAAAGACGTCTACTCAAAGCAGCCTTCATTATCCCATTGTCACCATACCCAGGGTCACTTCTCTCCAGACCCTCCTCCCACTCTAATCTGGGAACAGAAACCCATGATCTTTTGGGGATGTCCATGAATCAATAAGGCCTCCTTCACAGTGGAGATAGTGACCCCAGAGTCCCAGGCCTTCGGAAACTGTGAGAAAGTGCCAGGCATTTGCAAACAGGCTAATATTACCATGTCTGCTCAACTGTTTTCTTAGCTGTGACTCTAGGCTCACTACTTAACCTCTTAGTTTCCCCAAAGGGAAAAAAAGTAGTGGCATCCAATTACCAGGATTTAAAAAATCAGTGGTGCGTAAAGCGGGAGCAAGGCACCTGGCAGCAGAGCCTCAGCTAATGCTATCATTTAACAAGGCATTTCCTAAAATCCAAGCTCATGGAAGAATCCATGTGTGGCCTTTGGCTGCCTGCAGGACATCCCTCAACAATAACAGCCGGTAAATTTTCTTGTCAACTGCTGTCAACCATGATCTGAAAGACCACTCAGCAAAGTTCCCCTTGAACTGGGGAGACAGCTAAGAGAGCTAGACATAACTGCAGAGCATTTGGGAGGTGGGCAATCCTCAGCTATTGATATGACTCAGCAATGCCTTAGCACCATTATAAAGGCATGCTCAATTCCAGGAGGGTTCTAGAACCACAGGGACAGTCTAGAAAGCCCTCAAAGCTGTAATAATGGCAGGAGAACATCACCTAGCCACTGTGGATAGATGGTACACGTTCCATCTCTCTGCACATGCTCTGCTTCTTGACGAGACACATGAAGGACTCTCACCCTACCTGCCAACTTCATTTGCCCATGGAAGCCAGGGGATATCCTTGGGACAGGGTGAGAATAATTCATTTTCTTATCAAGTGAGATATACACAGTACACATGTAAAATGAAGAACCATTTTATTGAACAACTACAGGAGCAAAAATAGTGGATTTAACCACATTTTTAACACGTCAAGCAAAAAAGGCTATATTTACTTCCCCTTTTCCCTGAAACAGAACAGGCTTGCTGGAGGCCTGTGCCGGGGTGGGATCAGGGTCACAGAAGAGTTCCGTTATGCCTGATTGAAGCCACTGATCAGGTGACCAGGGAAAGTGCTGCACCTCCCGAGCAGGAAGATAATGCTCTCTTTACCCCACTGGGAAACAACTTATTTGCTTTAGGCTGAGGGTTACTGTTCTTATAGGATGGGTCTGGGCTGGCCGTTGGAGAAAGTGCAGACAGGTGATGGCATCCGCACACCTCGGATGCAGCACTCTTGCAGGACTTTACTAGACATGAGTCCTGTCTGGATGTTTTTGACGTCCTTTGTCAGCCTTCTTCAGTGTCCCAGTCTCAGGGGTATGTCTTAGGGTTTTCAGCCAATTTCTCCCCAGTGCTCATGTGAGGGTGGTGCATCTGTCTGGGGCAAAACAGTTGTGCCACCTGCTTGTACTGTGGCTAAACCCATCCATCTCCAGCACAAGCTTGTAAAAAAATACTTTAACAGAATATGCTGTACAGAACTAGGATTTGACACTGTATATTACAATGCTAAAATATCTGTATAAATACTATACAGGCATGGAGTCACTCCATTGGGAAGGGCTAACTAATGTGGCCCTGAAAACTTGCTGCTATCCTGCCCAAAGGGAAATGTACTCCACAGTAGGGACAGGGAATGTATGGCTGGGCTGCTTCTGAACAAAACAGGTGTGCACAGACCTAGCTACAGCCACACTGGCTACCTACAGCAGCGCAGCTGCACCACAAATGGAGGTGGTCCTGTAAGAATCACATTTTCCAACACTTTGATGGGAATTTTAGCACTAGAAAAATCTGCCCACTCCACAGATGTACCTTCTGCAGGCCTAGGCGCTGTCATCCCTGGGTGGGTGCCATGGGGATGAGCACGCACTTCAGGTACCCATACAGAGGGAAAAGGGCTCCTCCCTCATGTACTACTGGCATCCATGTGTGTAGACACCCCAGCCCCCCTGCCACCTCTGTGTCCTATTGTGGAGAGTGGCTGGGTGGCACTGGATGCAACTGAAGCTTGAAATAAAGGTCTATGGTTCCAGACCTGGGTGGGGGCAAAGGACATGGGAATGTGCATTTCAGTGCACTCACACTCTGGCCCCACTGGCGCCCTTTAGTCTGGCATTTCAATATTTAATTTGGGTGGTGGGAGGACATACTTCCCAGGGCTCTGGGTGATAACCACCCTGGCTTTCTTGCGAAACATGGGTGCAATTTTAGGAGGTTCTGGAACTGGGGTTTCTTCTGTGTCCTCATTATCTTCATGGTGGAGATCATATGAAATGTTTCCATATTCTCTCAAAAATGGGAAGATTTCAAGCAGAAACTGGCAGAAATCTTTACGAATACCAAACCACCCTGAAAAATAAGAATTTTCTTTTTCAGGTAATCATCAACCTTACCCAGCTGTGAATCCCACAAACTACAACTACGGGCTTGGCAAAATATACCCACTGGTGAAATAGGGGCATGAATGTTATGGGAGTAACCAACCATCTTCTAATTGGATTTAAGGTCCACTTCACAATAGGGACTTCACACCTAATATTGTTATTAGGGTCAAGAACCTGTAGTTAGGTGACAAGCCTATAGGGAACAGTATACTACATCATTTTGCTAAATAGACATAACATTAAAGTGACTCTTAATGACTTACTGTCACACTCATAGATGAGTGCACCTTTCAACTCTCACCAGTAAAAGTTCTTCTGGCAGCAGACAGCAATTAATACAAAGACCCATAACTGGTCAACATGCAGAGAAAAAGAGATTACAGAATGCTCAGCCCTAAATGGGAATACCTGTCTAATAATACCTTCTTCTCCCAAGGTTCCAGAGGGGGTGGGAAGATTGTAAGAGTCACAGGTGGTAGATGAATACAAGGAAATTGTGTTGACTGGACACCACATGATAGTTGCACATATGAATCTACAGTGCGTATGACAGCATGCCGAAGACCTATGCAAACTCAAGCAAGACAGGGGCCCAGCATGGAGCAGGGAGACAGGTAGGAAGCACCAGCCCTAGCTGAGGATATACTGGAAATTGATAGATGCTGGGAGAGGGAGAGTCAGTTTTCCTTACTAGTTTGCCACTTGGTAGATTGACCAGACTGTAAGGGACAGACACATACCCAAGAGCATGTGGGAAACAGATTAGACTTGATAATGCCTTAAAAATGTTAAAATATAAATACTACTAAAGAACATGAAGTCAGAGGATGGAGGGAGTAAAGTAGGAGTACAAAGAGAGAAGGGTCTGAATATGATCAAAATAAACTGTATGACATTCTCAGATCAATAAAAATATTTTTTAAATGTTTGCAACTGAAAATCAACATACTAAACCAAATATATCGGACTGAGACAGTGAAAACAAAAATTTCTTTTAAAACACTTGGCTCAAATAACTTTCAGGTCACTTTTCTTTTCGAAACGAAAAGTTTTACTGGTACTATGTATTACTTTAGCCATGTTCCTCAGAAATGAACACTGGCCTGGGTCCAACTGCCCAACATGGGGAGGAATTCAGACCTCCAGCTCCAAGGTTTTCAGAGCAAGATCCCAGACCAGTATGGCAGCATCCCCTGGTCCTTGTCGGGAAGTGATTCTATAGCCTCAGGCCAGAGCTCTGTGTTGAGAAATGGTAAGATGGGCTAGAGAGTGCAGCTTTACCTGGACAGCCAATAATTCAGATGGAGGCTGGAGTGCCAGAGGCACTGACTATGCCCGCAGTTTTCTAATTCTGGCAGAACCTATACCATGCTGCCTCTCCAAACTTCTGACCCAGGTTAAACTGATTACAGAGTCATATCTAAGGAAAGAACTCCCGTCACCCTCTGCAATCTGGGGACATAAGGAATTGGTCTAGGCTAGAGTAGAGTTTGAGGACTCTGGAACCCCTGAAATCAGGCCCCTGTGTTTTTCTCTTCCATTTCATAGAGGCTGTCAGCTTGCTGCTGGCTCTCCAGACACAAGCAGAAGCCTGCATTGCATTTTAGGCCTGGTCCTCTCAGGTGGTCAGATGGGCAGTTCTCTGGGTTACATGCAATAGAGTTCACAGGCCTATGAGGAAGTTACCCTCTTCAAAGACCACCTCCAAACTACATGCTATCATATATTGGTGGAGCCACAAAGTAATCTAGCCTAGTAAAACTGAAAAGAATCCATCCTGTCAAGGAGTTAGCAGACAGGTACATGGTGTGATTCTTGTAATCTTGGTTTGAAGACATGGGTTTTTCATCTATCTTCATAACCCATGAGCCCTGTCAAGAGGGATCCTGAGCCTATTTTAGCAGCACAGGGAATGGGAATTCAGAGACACAGCTTGCCACATCTGACCCTATGTCTACTTGCAGTATGCACGGGGTGGGGGTGGGGGTGGGGGAGATTTAGTGATAGAGGTCAGCATTTCAAATCAAATGTGACAGCATACCCTTCCGGTAGAGCACCCCTCCCATTCAACCCCAAAGTCCCCCCAAACAATTTCTAACCTGGGGTTCTGAGACCAATCCTTTTAGATAGCATAGGCACAAGTGCATGCACATATACACCTATGCATGAATATACAGACAGACAGACACACACACACACACAGACACACACACACAGACACACAGCGCTTTTGAGAGTCTGTGGACATACAGTGGTTTCCGCCCTTCTGTCCAAATGTTGTTGCCATTAGTGTGATCAATGAGAGCCAGAGGGGGACAAATATTGGAATACAAGAGAAAGCATTGTGGCCATCCAGTTTGTGAACCAGCAGGATCTAGAAAAAGAGACAAAGTTAAGGACATTCTGACATCTCACCGAAAATGGACCAAGTCTGCAGCTATCTCCTTTGTCTGCCCCTCCCTTTGTCTAGTCTGGGATGGGGGAAAGTCACCCATAGGTAAGGGCAGCAAACCACTCATCCAAGGAGGAAGGACCACAGGAGATTTCACTCCCTTCCCCAGAGCCAAATAAAAGTTTATCTAGTTGGAAGATTTCCCATTGCCTGGTGATTTATGAGAAAACATTTCCAGGATTTGTTCCAAGGAGTGAACAATATCTCTTCTAGAATTCACAACAGAACTCCAATACAAAACCAGGATATCCAAAATTCCCTCTCAGAAAGTAGAAGCTGGATGCTTGCAGATTCATTATGGTTGGAGAGATGTGCTCTGCAAGCCCCACTCCATGAGAAAGAGAACACAACCTTTCTACCCCAACTTCCCTCGAGGCTTTTTCTTTCTCCCAAAGGTCTCCTTGCTATGCCAAGGGTTAGGAGTCTACCTACCTAGTTACACTGGGTGCCATTTGAGCTAGGAATGGGATGTGAGGGTCCATGAGGTTTCCTATAGACAGCTTACCTCAAAAGTAAGAAGAGGCACGACAATGGTCATCCAGCTCAATGCCATGGTTATATGTGTCCTGCGTTGTTCTGCAATCACATCCATAGAGCGCAGGAACAAGACAGACCAAACGATGTAGTAGAGGACCACCAGGCACAAGAAAGACATGAGGATCCACAGGGGGACACACACGACCTGCAGGGAGGAGCAGAAAGTGTCTTCAAAGCTTCCTCTCAGCCTAAGGTGGGTGCCACTATCATCTTGCTGTGTTTGCCCAGTCACACAAAGGGTAAGCATGACCACAGAGAATCTCACTGCCCAAGATAGCCAGGGAGACAGCACGAGGAGCACCACCTCCAAGACGGGACCTCCCTCCAGGAATTGCTGCCATCAGCTCCTCTTCCCTTCAGGGGACAACCTTCCACCTGGGACATCCCCTTTTCACACTCTAAGCTTCTTCCTACCACACTCCCTCCCTCTCAGTCCCTCCTTCCCAGGCTCCCTCACTCTCACCATTACTTGCTCCCGCACTCCCTCACTTAGTCACTCAGTTCTGCACTCACTCTTTCCTGTCACTTATGAATTTACTGACACTCACACCCTTACTCCCAGTTACTCTTTCAACCACTCATGCTTAGTGATGTTCACAGTCACCCACTCATTCCCACAGTGCTTTACTCCATCATGCCCACTCATACTTCTTCATGGTTCCTCCCTCGCTTGCTCACTGTCACTCGTTCATTCGCCCACTCTGTCACTCACCGACTCTTGTCCCTGGTTCCTGCTCACTCTCAGCTATTCCCATACTTGTCTCTCCCACACCCCCTCACTGCTCATGGCTCACCTCTTATTTGCCTCCCTCATACTCCCTCACCTTCAGGCACTCTCTCACATACTTGTTCTGCTCTTCAGACTCTCATTCAAACTCATTCTGTCCCTCATTTATACACTCCTTCACTCATTCAAGTACTGACTCCTGCTCAGGTACTCACCCACTCAGCCCCAGCTCTTGGCCTCAGCACTCGACACTTATTCTTCTTTACTGTCACACTCTCATTCTGTCACTGATGTCTCAGTCCTCCTCATTCTCCCTCTCCCCTCACTCTCACATGCACTTACACACTCACTGCCCACTCTCACTCTCCTTCAGTCTCTCAAGGAAGCACTCACTGACACCCGCTCTCATTTCCTCACTCTCACTCTCACTGAGTTATGTGACACCTCAGCCACTCACTCCCGCACATTCACACTCATCCACACATGTCCTCTTTGGCATTCTCTCACACACTTACTCTCACAGCCACTCACACACTACAGCATGGACACTCAAGTCTCTGCTGGCAGAACTGTGGTCGGATGGAACAGGGTTGTGCTTCCAGCATGAACACACATACTGTACACTCACATACCTCTGCAATCTTCAGGAGGGATTGTGATGACATGTGTGTGGTAGTGTTTTCCAGATATTTCAGCTGCCTGGCTTCTACATACCTTCCTCGTTAAACTCTACCAAGTTAGTGAATATGGAAGATTCATGCTGAGTATGTCACACCTCAACCCTGCCATCATCCCAGGGCACATTATGAGCAGGTTGTTTTCATGGCACAATGACCTTGTTCTACGTACCTATGGGTCCACCTGTCCAGTCACCATTCCAACCTCCCTTGACATCTTTCTTCCCTCCTGCCCTCAGCTCTAGGAATACTTCTCAGCTGTCTCTTTTTCTTTAATTAGTAATCTTCCTGGAAAATTCACTGGATATTCTTTAGTGCATAGTTCCAAGACCTGTAGATCAGCATAGCTACAGGCCACACTCAGGAGGGGCCCTCTGTAATAACTGTTCAAGCTGCGTGGTCACTGTCACCGTACCATGAGCCTTGGCAACAACAGCTCTGTTCTCCATCCTTGTACTTTTCTCTCTGTAACAATGCTGTGTAGATAGAATACTATCATGACCTTTGGAGACTAGCTTCTGCCAGTGACAATACTGCCCTTGACATACCAAGCTGTTCCCTGTAACCACAAGTTTTTCCTTTCTTTTTTTTTGGTCTTTTTGAGACAGGGTCTCCCTGTAGCCCCACTGTCGTGGAACTCACTATGTAGACCAAGCTGGCCTTGAACTCACAGAGACCCACTTGCCTCTGCCTCCCGAGTGCTGGAATTAAAGGGGTGCACCACCACACCTGGCCCAAGTTATTCCTTTTTATTGTTAATGGTTGTATGCATGACTACAGTTTTTGTTGTTGTTTGTTTGTTTTAAGACAGGGTCTTCCTGTAGCCCGAGCTGGTCTGGAACTCATTATATAGACCAGGCTTGCCTTGGTCTCATAGAGATCCATCTGCCTCTACATCCTGAGTGCTGGACTAAAGGAGTGTGCCACCATATCCAGCTAGATGATCACAGTTTATTTCACCACAAACTGAAGGTAATTTCCTGCTCCAAGACAGCAAAATCAAGGAAAATATAAACATCTGTGTCTTGGTTTTCGATGACTCTACATTTTCAGTTTTTGAACTCTTGAGAATTCTTTGAATATTTTAGATAAGAAGTCAAAGTTTCGGCATGTGCTTAAAAAATGTTCCCTTGTTCAGTGATCTGTCTTTTCCCTTATTTTATTTTAAATTTAAGAAGTCTGAGATTATAATTCCATTGTCTTGTTGAATATATTTCTGGTGCCATTTATAAGAACTCTCTACCTAACTGTGGGCTCCAGAGGTTTTTATCATCTTTTCTTCTAAAAGTTCTATGATTTTTACATTTTAGCTTTAGATATATAATTAGAGCTGATACATGATTTTTAAGCTTTGCTGAGTAGCTTAGAGTTCTAAAGAGGATATGTATAGCTTGGGTTACCTCTTCCAAAGCACATCTGTGATGGTAGTCATTTATTAGACTTTCTTTCAAAGGTAAAATGATAGTGGTTTTAACCTCTTCATTTGCTCTCTCACTAATTAGGAGAAGCATGTAATCAGAATGCTTCATCTACTGGGATCTGCACAAGATTAAAGGGCAAAATCCCACCACTACGAAGTGTTAAAAATTCCTAATCTTTTCTTTTCTATATTCATACCTTATACGAAAAAATTAGTCCTGTCAGATTTGGTTTGTACAGGTGACAGTCACCCATTCTTCAATTACCATTTCTTCAAATACTGCCCTGAAGCTGTAGGATGGGTATGTGAAAAATAATTTTAATTTTAATTTTATTTTTATTTTATTTTATGTGTATGAGTTTATTGCCTGCGTGCATGTAAGTGCACCCATGTTATGAAATGCCTGTGGAAGTCAGAAGAGGGTGTTGAATCCCCTGCAACTGGAGTTACATTTTTTAGCTGCTAAGTGGGTGCTGGGCATAGAACCTGGTTCCTCTGCAAGAACAGTCAGTGCTCTTTACTGCTGAGGCATCTGTCCAGTCCCCAATGAAAAATATTTTTTCTTATGGATGATTTTATTAAAAACTGTGGGGAGAAATGATCAATCTCTTATTTAATTTTGGAGAACGTGTATGCTCCTTTATCTTCCCTGCCTCTAAGTAAGTATTTTATTTTCTCATTATAGTAAACTTCAAAAAAGTAGGCTATATTTAATATAGAATATGTCTTGTGTAAAAGTTATACATCAAGGACTGGGGAGCCATGTCAGTTGCTGAAGGGCTGGCCATGCAAGCAGGAGGACTGATGTTCAAATCTCAGAACCACATAAGAAAACCAGACCTAGTGGTAAATGCTTATAATCCCAGTATGGGGGAGGTGGAGACAGGCAGACCCCTAGGGCTTGCTGTATGGCCGCCTAACCTCATGGCAAGCTCCCAAGCTAGGGAGAGACCTTGGCTCAACAAAAAGAGGTAGGCAGTGCCTCAGAAATGACATCTCAGGTTGACTTCTGGCCTCCACATGCATGTACACAATATATGCATACATCCACAGACATGTACACATACATGATCATACACATAGTGCACATAAACAACCCAAAGTAAAATTAAGCAACAAGGAAAACATAATCAATCCAAAATTTAAATCACTGGTACAATCTTGGTCTCATAAGCAGTATAATTCTGCTTTGGTGCTTAATCTTTTATATATAGTCTCATGTAGCACAGGCTGGCTTTAATATTGTTATGTAGCCAAGAATGACTTTGGACTTTTGATCCCCCCACCTTCACCTCCCATGTTCTGGGGTTCTAGGCATGTGTCATCACACCTGGCTTAGTACTGAAGATCAAGCCCAGGGCTTTGTGCATGTTAGAAAAGCAATCCGCCAAGTGAGGTACATCCTAAGTCTTCATTTTAAGCATTTATCACTTGAAACAATACTGTATTCTTTAATGTGTGCTGCTAGTTGTTTATTGATGTGTCCTCTCCATTCATGTGTCTTCTCCATCTGTGCAGTGAGTTTTAACCAAACAATCAATAACTGAAACCATAGTTTACACCCTCATCCCTCACAAGAGGATAAACTGGTACAGGTTTTCCAAAAAGCAAGCTAATAGCACATATAGTATATGCATTAAATAATCTCAGAAAGCGCCCATCCAATCTATATTTTAAAAATATCTATCTATCTATCTGTCTGTCTGTCTGTCTGTCTGTCTATCTACCTACCTAACTACCTGTCTGTCTATAAATGAACGGCATGACATGAAGGTAGAAGGGGGACCATGTTGCATAGGAATGGGTCTAAAGGCAGGAACAGAGAGGGTAATAGATGGAAAAAAGAAAGACAAGGCCGGGTGTGGTGGCACACGCCTTTAATCCCAGCACTTAAGAGGCAGAAGCAGGTGGATCTTTGTGAGTTCGAGGCCAGCCTGGTCTATATAGTGATTTCCAGGACAGTTGGCGCTAAAGGGATACCCTGTCTCAAAAAAAATGACAAAAAAGACAAATACCGTATGTTTTTTCTCACACATGGACTCTAGATTTAAATATATATGTAGATATGACATGAAAATAGAATGGGGCTGTTTGGGGAATAAACAGAAGACTAACAGGATGAGAAGACAAGAGAGGGGACTGGGGGTAAACAGGAGCAAAGGATAGAATGAAATCCATTACTATGTGCACTAAGAACATTAAGAAGAAATACATTTTTTAAAAGTTCCTATCCTAGAGCTCAGTAATACTTTTTCTAGAATATGTCCTAAGAGAACAATAAAATATTAAGCAAGGATTTTTATACACAAAACAGATGAGAAGTTGGAAAGGAAAAATCTTGCAAGGTTTCCATAACAGTAGGATAACTACACTATGGCTGATAATTAATTGAATGCTTCAAAATAGCTAAAAGAGAAGAGGATTTTGAATATTTTTCACACAAATAATTGAAAAATGCCCGAGGAAATAGACATACTAATCACCCTGATTTGATCATTATACATTGTAAATACACATTGGAAGATCTCACTATTTCCCATAAACATATATAATTAGTATGATAATTAAAGTTAGAAAATAATATATACATACAAATGGTGGCACAATTTGATTACAAACACTACCAATAACTGCACTACCTAGAAATAAAATGTTTCCTAAATGCAACCTATGAAAAGTGAAATCTCAAACGTAATATTTACAGTATGTTTATTGACATGGGCAAATGCTTATGCTATTTGCTAAAACAAAAACGTGGGATACAAAATCTTACACACAGAATAATCTCAACTACTTGTGTACAACAGTGGAATAGAGCCCACTATGCTGGCTCCCAGTGGTGAGATGTGTGTGTGTGTGTGTGTGTGTGTGTGATTATCTATGTTTATTTTTCTTTTACAAATTTCCTGTAATAAACATGAATTATTCTTATAATAAAACATTATTTAAGGATTTAAAAAGCTACATACAAGCCAGGGCCAGTGGATGATCTTGTCCAGTCTTAAGGCAATGAATATAAACTGGAGAATGTTGACAGAACACAGGATTTCTAACTAAAATTGAAGAAAAGAACCAGTTAATCAAAGTAAAAGTTACATTCAACACAGTGGTTGCTTAACACAGCAATATGCAATGTAAATTGTAGTAAAACTTATGATGTTCTGCTGGAAGCTTCTAATTTTCCAACACCAAAAGAGCACAGTAGTCTATGAAGTGTGCACAGGTCTTCTGCTCAGTTGGTGCCCCACCCCTTTGGTCACTCAAGAGCAGAGCACTATTGGCCCAGTAATGATCTTGTTTGAAAGAAAAGAAAAAAGAGACAATCTGCAGCAGACTTCCTTCAAGCCTCCTTCCTGCCCCTGCTGACAATCTTCTTTACTTACAACCACACTTAAACTTCCTTTTTCTTCTATCCAGGACTAGGCCCTATATTCCACCCTTTCCTTCCTAGCTCCTTGAGGACCTTGTCACCTCAAGCAAACAATGATAGATTCCTTGCTTCACTTCTAAGTCTGACTGTGACACTTACCTTTCCCAACAAGAAACAAGTTACCTATTTCCTATTAAAAACAAAATCTGAATTAAGTCGATCTCTCCCCTTACTCAGTACCTGTCAGCCTAATCCTCTTTTCTGTTGTAATCCAGTTTTGTGAAACAGGAATAGCTACATGAGCCTCTACTGCCCCATCCTCAATTCCAAGCTGCTTACATTCCTACTCTATAAGGAAATTGCCTTCATCAAAGCCCCAGTACCAATAAGCAGCAGAATACATGTACTTCCATCTTATTGGGCATATGTAGAGAATGTTTTATGGTGCTACTGATTGTCAAAGATCTTATCCTATACCCTGAGAGTATCCAGACAAGTTTTTCTTGGGTTCCTTTTCCACTCCTTAAATAGTTACACACTCTAGAGCCTAAAATTTGGTCCCCACTAGAGAAACATACATAATTACTCATTCACACCAGCTTACCTTCCTGCTTGGAGACTGGTTCTGAAATCTGCCTGCAAGCTAGCCTAACTGCTGCACACCAGATCCAATGTGCAGGCACTACATGGATCTTTTAGACCAGCCCCCTAGTTAAACTGGTTCCCAACAGAGATCATGGTCCCCTGTTCCTCTTCTTTCCATCACTCTAAAGCAACACAGCAGCCTGATTTGTCAAGTGTGGACTTGGAGAAGCACTGTCTGTTGTGTTTTCTCTGCTGTCATATTCAGTCATTGCATTCTGTCCATTCTCCCACTCAACCCTCTCTTGAAGGCCTTGCCTATTTTTAAATTACATTACAACTTCCTAATCAGGACTTTTGTCATCAACCCTCTAAACCACTTCCACAGCTCCATTCCTCTCAGGAAGGATGAGACTTAGCATTCAAAGGTACCCAAACTATTTTTTTTTGATAATAGACTTCAGTCTTTTCTATAGAGTGTAGATCTGTTACCCGATACAGACCTTCCACAAAGTCCTCTGTCACAGGGCATTTAATAACATAGTACTTCTTCCCCAGAACTCTTGGCAAAAAGAAAATATCCAACAGTCCCACTGATTTAAGGAATTCATTCTATATACAATATTTGCATATTAAGGCATTTAAAAAAAATAAATTACATAAATCAAAAGAAAATTACTAACATAACACAAGCTATTGCCACAGCCCTTGATTACCTCCCATAACTTGAAGATAAGACCCTGTTGCTGGAGGTAGGGCATGCTTTGGACACAGGACTTAGAGCAATGGAGCTAAAAGTGACCTGGAAGCCTCCACCCTGAAGAGTAGCTCTCATATCTCTAGAGGATACTATGGAAGCTGCTAAGGGGAAAAAAAATCAATCAACGGTGCAAACTCAGCTTTAAAGCCTACACCCACAACAATGACTGGAACAACAAAGTACAGTGGCACAACAGTGGCATTTTTATCTTGGGGATAATCAACAGCTACTTAATAGGACGTGAAGCCCTCTCAGTGGGAAAGAACACATGTGGCACTGTGAACAGAGCCAAATACACATGGCTGGAGAGAACACAGATCCTAGAGAAAAACCCTATCTCTGTCATATTCCCATACAAATGGAATTTCTTACTGTATGCTAAATACGGACCCTTATATTTACAGACAAGTCTATCTGTCACCACTCATCAAAAAAGCTTCTTTTTGCAACAGATGGAGAACACTACAGAGTTCCACAACTGGTCACACACAGGGAATAAGTGGCTGAGAGATGCCGTGACCTAAGTGACACATCTACAATGGAACCTCTATATCTAAGGCTACATAGTGGAAGAGCAGGTAGATAGACTATGAATGTATCTCTCAACACTCACCAATGAAGCTTCCTCATGCAACAGAGTGCAGTGCACACAGATGGCTACAACTGACCAAAGAGTAGAGAATTGGAGACTGCAGAGTTGTGTGCCCCTGGATAAGACTCCTATATTAAACCTCCCCCACCCATGGATCAGGAACCATTGCAATAGAGAGGGAAGAAAGACTTAAGAGCCTAGTGTACAATCATAAGAAAATAGTTTTCCAGGCTGCTGGGAACTTCCTCATATAAACTTATAGCAATGGTTATAGCATGTGCAAGACCCATGTAAACTCAATCAGAAAAAAAATCCAGCATAGAACTGGAGAAATGGGCAGTAGGCCCCAACATTAGCTGAGGAACTACTGGCAGCTGATTAGTGCTGGGTGAGGAAGAGTTGATATTCTTTAAGGGAGTGAGTCTGGATAAGCTGACTAGACTCCAGTGGATGAAGCCACACTGACGGACATCTGGGTACACAAACTTGACTTTATAGGCTTTAAAATATATGAAAAAATGCATGAAATCCCATGTGGGGGGTCAGGGTGGTGCAGATGAGTGAGGGGGGTCTAAATATATTTAAGATGTATGAAATGCACAGAAATTCAATAAAATACATTGAAAAAAGAAAATTATTTTGTCATTCTTTTTTAACCTTTATTTATTTTTACATTATGTGTATCAGTGTTTTCCTTGCATGTATGTAAGTGCATCAACTGCATGTAATACCTGCAGAGGCCAGAAGGTGTTGGATCCCCTGGCACTGGAGGTGCAGACAGTTATTAGCCACTATGTGGGTGTTGGGAACCAATTTCAGACCCTCTGCAAGAACAGCGAGTGCTTTTAACTGCTGAGCCATCTCTCCAGCTGCACCTTATGTCATTCCTTTAAAACCACAGCTAAGTCCTGATGAGCTATATGTGCCTGGCAGGTAGTGTCCAACTTCCCAAACCTGGAACTGAGTACAGCACCTCCACTCTCTGCTCTTCACCTGCATCTTCCTACAGTTTAGGTTTTAATCACAGCAAGTCTGAAAATCCTGCTTCTTAATGCTGTGGCAGCATCATAAGCTATGCAGTGGAACCTAATATAAGACCATGATCATTTCAAGTGAGTAGTGCAAATGGCACAGGTATCAGTTTTTCACAAACTGAAAGCTATCCCTGGTGCCCTGGAAACTCATTAACACCATGAGACTACCTGAGTGCCCTGCATATCTTAAAATATTTATTTATTTATTTATTTATTTATTTATTTATTTATTCATTCATTCATTCATTCATTCATTCATTCAATTGTGTGTGTGTGTGTTGTGTAAGAAACCTCAGCCATGCAGATGTACATAGAGTCCAGAGTTCAACATTGGATTATCTTCCTCAATCATTTACTTCTCCATCTTATTTCTTGAGATAAACTAACAAGAGCTTGCCCTTTTGGCTTGACTGGCTGGCCAGTGAGCCACACAGAATCGGCCTGTCTCTACCTTAGTGTTCGGATTCCAGATACGTGCTTCCAGGCCTGGCTTTTATGTGGGTGCTGGGGGTCTGAACTCAGATCCTCACGCTTTCACAACAGGCACTCTCAGCCCCTCAGTGTGTGCTTTGAGGGCTGGAGATACAGTCCCCATGCAACCCATTCCTGTGTAGAGGCTCCTTTTCCCAGCTCCCTCATTTCTCTCCCATTTCTGCTCCAGGCACATCTTGGCTACTTTGGAGTCCACTCAACTGACCAGTTTCTCCTCCATCTATGTTTTAGTGTGCCTTAAATATGCCATGTCCTGCTCTTCCAACACAGGTCCTACTTGCAGATCCAAGGTCCTCCTTCATATTTCTGTGAGAACCTCCCGACCAATCATTCTTTGGTGATTGTGTATTCTCCATCCATAGCACAAAAGCCAACATGGAAAGCAACTCCTGCATGCTCTTTCTTCCCATAGGCAGGGACACCAAGAGTGGGAATACGTGTGAAAGGTCCACTTTCTAAACCTCACACCTAATGTAGTCCTAGCTCTGGTATATGCTTTTACCATCTAAGAAACAAAGCTGATGTTTTCATAGGCTTCTGAAACTTTCTTTTCAGTCCTTCTCCAACAGTTTATAGATTCTCAGCACTTCTCAGCTAGACAGAGTTTCTGTGGGGGCACTGGTCAGCAAAGGTGGAAGATCTCATTCATATGTCACAAGGGCCTGGAGGACAGCACCAACTCTGGATTTTAGTGTATAAGGCTGTGGAATAAGACCGGGAAAATGCAGAGTTGTTCAATCAAAAGTCTCCTATCCTGAGTACCAATAACACACCTTCTTCCATTGATGAACAGTGGAGAAAACAGGTATAATTTCTGTTGAAAGTATGATTTTTTTTGTTTCAGTTTAATTTTTGGGTGCTGGAAATACAAGCATGCCCCACTATGCTTAGATATTTGTTTTTTAATGTTTGGTTTACTTCATTTGCTCAGGTGGTAGAAACCACATGACTAGGTAACAGAGGCACAAAGTAGAAATGAGTGGATGACTAGAGGGACTGATACCTACAACCAAAATGAAGGGGGATGGGTTTCCACTGGATACGGAGCCTACAGCTAACATAGAAATGTGAGGTGGGAAAAGGAAGTTAGGAAGCAACAGCACAAGAGGAACAGTGGAGGCGGGAGTGTTCACAAGATTATGCTAAGTATGAATAGTGAGGGGAGATATATCTAAGTGGAGAACACTAACAAGCAGTAACTTGAAAGGTACAGGGCAAGGAGG